TTATCGGCTTACAATTACACTATCTCTTATGTCCCTGGAAAAGCAAACGGCATTGCGGATGCCTTTAGCCGATTGCCGTTGAATCACCTGCCAGATTGTGGGTTGGAACCAAATGAATTAGTCCATTTAATGCAGCATTTGGCCAGGAAGCCGGTGTTGAACGCGGATATCCGCCGTGAGACAGAGCGTGAGGTACTCCTCAGCAAAGGTAAACCTTTCGCCTTCCAAGGATATAACGATAAATGTGACGCGGAGCTGTTGCTTTACTTCACCCGGCGTACCGAACTAAGTTTAGTGGATGACTGCCTTGTATGGAGGCACACAGCTAGTATACCGCCTCGGTTACGACATTATGTGCTGGAGGAACTGCACGAAACTCACCCAGGTATCACCAGAATGAAAGGGCTCGCGCGGTCATATGTGTGGCGGTACGGCATTGACAGCGACATAGAAAGATTAATCAGACACTGTGAATCATGTCAAAGTACACAAAAGAACGCCCCACTGATGCCACTGAGTCCATGGAAATGGCCCGACAAGCTATGGGAGCGCATACATGGTCCGCTTGATGGAAAGGTGTTTCTTCTCATCGTCGATGCCTATACCAAATGGATTGAGGTATTTCCACTGACACACGTCACTTCCGAGACAACTGTTTCCTACATGCGAACATGTTTTATCACATTCGGTATTCCACAAACACTAATGACAGACAACGGGGCTGTATTCATTAGCCAACAGTTCCAAGAGTACTTTCAAAATAACGGCATCAGATATGTGAAGACCGCCCCTTACCACCCAGCTTCAAATGGACTAACGAAAAGAGCAGTCCAGACAGTAAAAAACGGGTTGTAGAAACAATCACCCTCTCCACTCCGAATGGAGTTGGATAAATTTCTATTCGCTTACCGCTGCACCCCAAGTGAAACGACAGGTAAGAGTCCAGACGAAAAATCTTCCGCCGAAGGCTTAGGACGCGGCTAGATCTATTCTTTTCCGATCAGAGATTACGCGTCGACATGCGGCAAGAGCAATCAAAAGAGAGGTAAGATCGAAACGCACCAGCTCGAGAACTTCGTGATGACGAGCCAGTTGACGTCAAACTGCCCCACGAAGTAACTAGACAAACGCAGAGTTACGCAAAATTGAAGGCCAGAGAGCATTACCGGACGGCAGGGTGGTTACCCGTCATATGGATCACGTCTGCCGTCGTTCCGTTTCAACCGGGCCAGACGACAACGCCAAGCCCGTCAACCAAGCCAGTGGTCGTGGAGGCCACACAGACCACAATCCAGTCAGAAGCTCAAGCAATACGCAGTTCGATTACAGTCCAGTTGATCGTTACCGGACTGTCTGGGGGAGTGCCAAATAAAGGGAGGAGGAATGTGGAGTATGATTTACCATCTCCAATCAGCGTTCACACCAGCATTGAGCGTGTGCGCCTGTCTGTCTATCGAGTACCCACTCACGAGTGGTTGGCTTCATTTACTTGATCGATGCTGTACCCGTTCTGGTCAGAATGCACGTTTACACGCGACCAGCTAGACATGTTCTGTGTCTTAGCGTCGTTCAGCTAAGAGCCATTATTGCGTTCGCAGGCTAGCGTTATTTCCCCAAGTGTAGACTTTAACAGAGACTAAATGCGACGATAGTGGGCAGCTTATCCACAACTTGTCAAAATGATTCGAGCGTTGGGCTGAGCAGATTGAAACGCAATTTGTCAGGCAGGAATTGTCAGATTTCTTACTGGCCGTTGAACACGCTGCTCCCCGGGTTGCCCTTTTGTATCCGCCCTCTCGCTCAGACGCCGAACCTGAGATGGGACTGTTGAAGTTAAATAAGGTCGTGAGACCAGAGGATCTTCCTCCAGCCCTCTTCAAATCCGGGAGACCTGCTCTTATTGATGATTTACAAGAATTACTTGTGAAACTGTGGGAGCTCAGTGCCCATTGGAACCTGTTTACTTGCTTCGAGCAAGCTGATCGATGCCTCAGATCAATTTGCAGTTACGACATCTCAAGTTGGGTGCACAGCATGCGTCAAAGATTTTCTTCATGGCACATTTCAGAAGATCTTAGTCAGCATTCAGTTCACCAACCTCATTCACCAGACAATTGGTGTGTCAGTTCGGTGTTAGTGAAACTATACATGACGAGCGTGGACAGCACTTATCCACTACTTGTCAAAACGTTTGGAGCGTTGGGCTGAGCATTTAGTAAAGCAATTTAATCGGCCAGAAATGTTAGATTCCTCAACAGCCACTGATCGCTATGCTCCCTGGGCTGTCCCGTTACATCCGCCCTCTCGCTCAGAAGTCGAACGTGAGATCGGACTGTAGAAGTTGAATAAAGCCACGGGACCAGATGATCTACATTCAGCCCCCTTCAAATTCGGCGGCCCTACTTTTGTTGATGACTTCCACGAATTACTTGTGAAACTGTCCCAACAGAATGGAGCCGCTCCATTATTGTCCCGCTCTTAAAGCGAGTCTCAAGTTCGGAATGTAACAACCGCAGTCTGACCTCCATTACCTCCAAGTTACTTGCCTCTGTGATTCTTCATGGAATCGCCGGCATCCGTGAAAGCCGCATTCGTGAGAAGCAAACCCGGTTTCGTCGAGATCGAGGAGGCATCGATCACATCTTCACTTTACGTCGATTGTTAGAATACCGCCATATATATTGGCGACCCACCGTAGTCGTGTTCCTCGACATCGAAGGTGGCTTTGAATAGATTGATCGATGTCCGCTTTGGAAGTGTTTACTCAGGAATGGTGTGCCCGAAAACTACGTACACATTATCAGAACGCTTTACGCGTGCAGGTCGGGTAGAGTGAGGGCTTACATCAAGCTGTCCTCACCTTTCAAAATCTTCAGCAGTGTAAAACAGGGATCCTCACTGTCATCTTCCCTTTTTAACTTCCCTATCGACAAAGTGATGGAAATTGCGTTCGCTGGACACAACTTAGAAGGTGTGGTGCTGCTCCCATGTGAACGACTTGTTAGAATATGCTGACGACATTCCCCTTATCTGTGACTGCTTAGAGACGTGTCAAGCGGCACTAGACAAACTGGCTCTTGTTTTCAGACGTTTCAAGCATTGCTTCGCACCCTCAAAGTGCAAAAATTCCCACCAAGATTGACAGCGACCGCTTCCTGCACTGATCCTTGGTAGGGATTAGCTGTAAGTTGTTCGGAAATTCCACTAACCAGGCAGTTGTGTCAGTGTCTGTGGAATCGAAGACGAGATCATGGGCCGTGTAACAAAAGCCCGAGGTGATTTTGCTAAGTTTCACCACCTATAGCGCGGACGCGGTATCACTCCTCTGAAGGGTAGAATGTACAATGCAGCCGTAGGTTCCACCTTACCGTACGGTTGTGAAACCTGGCCCATTAGATCAGCCGACATAAAGTGGTTAGTTAAGTTCAACCACCGGTGCCTTCGCAGCTTGGCTCACACCTGGTGAGAACACCGTGTGAGCAGTGAACTTGTTCGACGCGTTGTTTATGGCGCAGGAAAAGGAAGTGAACCGCTCAGCACCGTTATACTATGCACCAGGCTCAGATAGCTGAGCCACATGTTGCGCATGGTGGTACATCGACTCCCGCTCGCCGCTGGTGTGAATGGAAGGGGTTGTAAAGTGGTTGACGGACATGGTTGAGAGCATTGAAGATCGTTAGTTCGAAGTTGGTTTCGGTTGGAGTCTCTCGGTTACCTGGTTGGAGACCGAAGGATGACGATAAGCACATTTGGCTGGATACACTTGCTGAGATGGCTAGGAGCCGACGTCAATGGCGGTTGTGAGTTTCTTTGCTCCTCCTCCCGCTTAGCATCCCTCTACAACCATGATCTCATTTCTGACGCATAACTCTTTTGCGGCCCAATAGCTGGCTTCTAGCTCACCGGAACGGTGTCCATCCAGCACTGGTGGATCAGCTCGTGTTGCGTCTTCTTTTCCTTTCTCATGTATTGCGGCACAATAGCTGAGGTGTTGCCCACATGTAGATGGCGTGCACAGAAAGAAAAGAAAGCTGCCAACGATCACGTAATTAGCCTTTATGTCGGTCGATCTGATGCGCTCGGATACACAATCATACGTACGGCTGCATTGTAGATTATCGTCTAAGAAGAGGTTAATGCCGCGCCAGCACCATAAGTGACAGAGGTCAGCAAAAGCGCTTCGGTCTTTCGTTATTTTGTTTGTGACCTCGTATTCCATTTTACATGATCTGATATGGCTCCTCATGTAGTTGAGTTTCTGAGAAATTGCTGACTGATCCGCACCGATGGTCAGCTTAGAAGTTGGTCTCTAACAATCCGAGAGAAAAGTGTTAGATTTTGAGGGTGAAAAACAACCCAAAACGATTGACAGCAAATGTTACTATGCGCACCCTAGCCAACCAACTGTGGCTGTCCATTTTTAGCAAGACGTAAGCACTCCAACCGCGTATGTCAGTTTAAAATGTTATGATTTCCATTTTGCCCCTCACGTCATTACTACAGTGGTCACTAGGTTTGCAGCGATGAAACATAAACAAGGTGGCCCACCAGTGTGAATGGGAAAAACGAAATCTTCTGCAAACAATTCGACAAATACCGTGAGTTTGACAAAAGACACGGCATGACTTGGACGTTTATGGACTGAATCCGAATCAAATCAGTAAATAGGGGGTGAAGAAAAAGCTAGAAAGAATGGGAATTAATCGACGCCTGGTACACCGGTATACGCATTACTTGTAAGACCCGCTCTAAGTCAACCGGCGAAATGAGTTAACGAGGAAGCCAGACAAGGACACCTTGGAACCCGTGTCGATAGTATTTCTGAATTTAGCGACGAAACATCCATAAACAAGCCGTCGGTGAAATGCGAGCAGGTGTCTCATAAAACCGTCCTGTTTGGATTATGTGATCTGACTTGCATTTAAAGGTTGACTTGCAGCATGAATCAGTGCTACTTCAAGTATCTCCAGTGTGAAAATAGGAAATGGACATCTATCAGTTTCGCCATAAAGCGGAGAGGGAAAAGAATCTATTATCTTTGGTAGTCATACAAAAATAGTTCGCATAAAGACAATGCTACTGTGCTCTGGTTGCATATCAAATAGACAAAGCAAATAAGTTGAAGGACAGCGTTGCGTTACAAGTCGGTAACGAGTAACAGATCAGTTTTCCACGGAGGTCGTTGTTGTTTGGCCTCCTGAATAAAGGTCATTGTGGGCATTTCCGTTGGTGGAATGAGAATCGGTCTCGCGTTCGGGTAAGATCATACCTAAGTACGGATGTGAATCGTTGACTGCGCCCATTGCAACGAGATCCATATAGAATGCAGCATAGGTCTGATGGAATAGCAACCCGTCACCAGAAACCCGTCGACAATCTACCAAGATAGAACCGGCGAGAGGATATAGAAGTACACGAAACGCCGTGCCCGGATGGTCCGGATTCAAAATTTGAACCTAAAAGACAATGGGGCAATGAGACCGTTTCATCTGTCCGTCTTCTCAGTGAACGATACAGAGAAAAAACCGACTGCCAGATGGTCAGTATAAACAGAGATGCAATGCGATTTTGTAGATGATAAAACAACAGGGAGGTAAACGATGTATGACTCACCAACATGTTGGATGAACTTCTGATCATAGGCCGAAGCTGTCTACGCTGCACAATCACCGCACGGATGACCTCCATTGTGTGGTCTAAGGAGGATAAGGCGGAAAAGAAACGCGTCATGCGCCTCATCAAGCAAGAGAATCCCAATCGGACGTCCTCTGGATTCGCATCAGTGCTGTACACAGCTTGGCTGGCCTGGCAGGTGAAGCGAGAGAAAGAGGCGAATGAGATGTGACGGATAACGAAATGTCAGTTCAATTAGTAAACTGTGACCGGATTACGTCAGCATAATAAGAACAAGGTTGGATCAAATGGGAGATCCTGGACAAAATATGAACAAAAATCGAAGAAACTGCGATAGACAAACCTTGTACACAATGGATGTAAGCGCCAACAGGCGGCAAAAATGGACCGAGTGCGACATTTGCGTCGCGAGTGGGCCGTCGGAGAGAAAATCGAGAATTGGTGTGTCTGATCAGGAGAAAGTGTTCAAGTCATCCAGCTTGTTCTCTGGTGATGGCTCTCATCATAAATGGACATGACCTAATGCTCGTTGTAATATGAGTACGTCTCGCGTTCTAGTGCACAAAAATGGGTGTTGTATAAAAGCCAGGAAATCAAAAGGATGTGAAGCAGTATAAAGCGTGATCAAATCTAGAGTGCGTAGATCGGATTGACCGGAAGGTGCGGAGTAGCGTGAGTCACTCGCAGAGAGTGTTACAGTAATCAGCGCGTGGAGAGAAGACCAAAGATCAGTCTAATGTGAATGTAGATGAGGTCAAGTTCCGTCGGCATCTAACCGTTGAATAGCCTGATAGGACTGGTGCTGAAGGCACATAAAGTACTGTCTGAAATAGTTCTAGGGGTAGTGAAGATGAGCAAACCACTGTGACAGCCGAACGCATTCTTAATGTGATTGCTCAAAGGCCAATGAGATGGGACTTTGTCTCGTGTATTGGTTGTGAGCTATATTCTGGACTCGTAACATCGATTAAGTGATTAGTCCCATTTGCAGTGAGTCAAAAGAGGGAGCCATGTGTGCAGCTGTGTATGGCAATAAACGATCAGCAGATCCGCCGTTACTGAAATACTTCAGAAGAATTCATGGATGAGAACGTGGTAGTGGTGTGATGGTATATGAGATGCGCCGGAGAGCACCCGTGTTCGGACAGGTGATGACAACTGAAACTGAAACACATCCGATAATTGAGGTTATTACCAATTCGCTGTCATGATAAGATAAAAATCGACTAGCTAACTATTCTCGAGGTACCGAGAGCGCTATTTTCTCACTCCGAAAAAAAATTAGAATTTGAAGATATATAAGTCGGTGAAACGGATTCCGATGTGAAAGAAGGCGATCAAACGGCGGCGTACCAGGAGCATGCTAGCAATATCTGAGGGCTGTGATAATCGGAGGTCATTGGCCGTGGGGCCATTTTGTGGCAGACAAGAAATGACGGGTTGCGACGATGGAACTGAAACACAAAAAAATAAATGAGAGGAGCGAGGAAGAGCACCAAAAGAGGATGAAAACGGAGAAAAGTTAGGAAATCGCATCTCAAAATACGTCCGCTGAATGTCAGAGAAGTTAGAGGGGAGGGGAAGGGCAGTACGAAGCATCGGTCCCAGTCCAACCGCCTAGAAAGAGAATATCATCTATCAGCAGATGCATAGAGACTACGACTGAGACGTGGGATAGCGAGATTCAGCACAAGCGGAGACAGGGCGGGACAATCAAAACCAGTGACGGTTGCTATGAGTGTGGATAACAGCCCTAATCTGACCAGGCTACTGAGAGTGTACAACGTGAAAGATAAAAATTGAACACCTGGTATGCAGTTGCAATGTGAGGACCAACCTCACCGAATTCGCAATTAATCACCGAAGAGCAGAAGTAGAGAGAGACTGGGTTTACCAAGGAGTTCGGAACAGAAAGAAGAGAGGAAATGTACAAGAATTGCAGCTGCGCACCAACTCCGACGAGTTTTTAACCAGCGATGCTTAAGACCCACCGCTAATGAGCGCCACACACGGAAGAGACCCAAATTATTTATTGGTTTCCTTATACGTCATTGCCATATCGTGGAATGAGCAACTCGAAGTTTCAATAGTAGAGACACAATAATGATCAAAATGCACATCAAATGATACGAACAAAGCAAATAACGTACCCAGTGCATGTAATTCCAGTTAAGCGGATGAACCGGTAAGACACTGGAAAATCTGTCGTCACACCACAATTAATGCAGTTCGGTGTTCTGTGATGGTGGAGCTACCGGTTGGCTGTCGCTCACCGACCAATCGAATGGACCCCTTCCAACATACATGCTAGATACTCTGCGTTGGGAAATTGTCATGGTACGGAACGTGTGTAGTCTTAACTACACTTCGCACCCACTGCCGGCGCTATTCACACACGTGTATCAGTGTATCCATCACCCGAAAAATAGATTGGCTGATAAAACGTAGTGGAAGAATGGGAAAAAATCTGACCTACTTACGGCAAGCTGCTAAAAGCGTCAAACATCATGTGGACTCACAGCTAGAAAGCAACGCTAAGCAAATTAGATGCGCGTTCAACCAGTACTTAGCTAATGTATTTTTATAAATGGAGCTAGAAGTAAAAGTTTTTAATATAGTCATCTTGAGATTCAATATCAACCCTCGTGATACGGACTGGGTCGTCTTAAACCAGTGCATGCTTCAACGACGAAATTCAAGGTGCCGCTGTGGTCCTAGATAAAAATAACACGACCGTCATTGTTGACTAGACTAGCTACTATTTTCAAAACGATTTGAGACACTGAAGAAGATACCAGACTGGCGATTATCAACTGTCGTGCTCATCTTCGAGAAGGGTCAGCGTACTTTATGAGAAAATCATCGAAGCATCAGCCTTCTTCACATTCCTCAAAACTCCTCATAGATCTCATTATTCTGCGACTTACTGATCCTCGTGAGAGCCGTATCACTGAAAGTCAGCCTGGCTTCCGCCCTTGTCGTTGTTTTATCGACCACATATTTACTCTTACCCAAGTATTGGAGCAGAAACACCCATGCAGACGACCGACAACAGTAGTTTTCCTTGACTTGAAAGCCGCCTTTGACTCAGCTGATCAAGACAACTTGTGACGCTACCTATCCATGAAGGGCGTGCCGCTAACCTACTTTCCATTCTGAAGTCCCTCTGCCGTGAATGTCAAGGCTGTGTAAAGGTCTACGGGAAACTGTCTCCTGAGACGCCTAAAACAAGTGGGGTACGCCAGGGTTGTCCTATATCTCCTTTCCTCTTGAACGTTGTGATCAAAATGATCATGAATGACTTTACTTTCAAACTAATCTGGAGTGGAAGTTCTGCAAGGCGACCGATTGACAAACCCGGAGTATGCGGACGACATACATCTTCTTGGGTCCGGTGCAGTAGCAGTCCAAACACTGCATGACTGACTAACGCGTAGTGTCATATGCTTTGGCATGTGCCTTGCACTTTCAAGGTGAAAATTAGTGCTGCAATACTAGATCGACCCACCTCTAATTCTACCTATCACTGGACAACCACTGGAAGTAGTGGATCGGTTCACTTAACTATTTAGTTGTGTCACCTCTGTTGGTCACATCACTGAGGAAGTTACTTCGCGTATCAACAAGGCCCATGTGGTTTTCCAGAGGCTCAACCATCTACGAAGACAGTAGGATATCAGCTGGTCAGTGAAAGGTAGGGTATATAACGCTGCGGTAATGCCAGTCAGAGACCTGGTCATTCGGGCAGAAGACATTAAACGCCTGACCGTGTTTGACCCCCGGTGCTTGCGAAGTATTGCTCAGGTTTGGTGAGAACACCGGGTGAACAATGCTGAGGTCCACCAGTTGGTTTTTAACAAGAATCCTTCTGGTGCCTCTCTCGAGTGTTTGCTAAATCTTAGTAGTTTGCGCTGGCTAGACCATATCCCCCGTATGTCCATTGACCGGCTTCCTCGGCGTGCATTATACTCCGTGGTTGCACCAAGTTGGGTGAAACCGCGAGGTGGCCAGTTCATGAGGTGGCACAGACGCATGAAGAAGTTGATTGAGAGATTTGGTCAGGCTGGCGCGTGGATGGGGGTTTCGGCATTGTCGATACAAGTGGATGGAGACCATATTAAACATGACGTTGTCGTGCAGTCACTGGCGTTCTTGCATTCGGCTTCTTTCATCTGGCAGTTAATTTTCGTTTTATTCTGATTAGTCTAACGAATTTCCTTCTTTCCTCTACATTCTCTTTGTACCCGAACCCACTACCCTACCGGTGTTATTTGTTGTTATTTTTACAGTGTGGCAACTGGATTCACCGCACCTCGGTGCTCGGAGCATAGGTGTTCAAGTGAACTGAACTGTCACCCGCATTGATCAGATTCCACAAACGATTGGATGCTCATACATTAGCATGATTGTTCCGCATGCGATGGGCAAGGCAACAAGGCTTATGTGGCCCAGCAGATCTAGATGAACAATGGGGTATAAAATTTGTCTAAGCCCTGTGTGGATGATACTAAGGTCCGTCAGTTGGGATTTCGAATCGTGATTCGTACTTGAGCTGCGCATTTTAGGTAGATCGTATCCTCACACGACAACCTATCGACCACATCGGTATGTAATTGTAGAAAAGTTTAAGAAGGGGCTAACCAAGGACATGACCAAGTCGCTGTTACTAGAGCTGCAGCATACGTCTTTTGCTTCGCAAGATTCCATTTCTAGTAACCGCGTTTTTTGACTATTTCCCCAGCGAATGTTTGCCTCCGATTCATCGATTACCGTTCCTTCCCAGCTGTGCAAGTCATGACGGCTGGATCCACCAATTTGCGGGAATCGGATCACAATCGATCGACAGGACTGAGCTGCTACGGTGAAGAGACCTTCGAGGTTACGTCCTAAAGCGAACTTCGCGCATTTTAAACGAGCTGGAACATGAAGAATGCGATGGAAGACTAATGCTAGTACAGGAAGAGTGTTATATGAGTTTCGATAAATTACTTTGCAACAGTGGTTAAGAAGATGCTTGATGAGGGGTTGGAAATAAAAGTTGGATTGGGTACCTGGTGCATCTGACTGAAAACCGGGTGAGTAAGTGTGAATGGACGTCGCAGAGTTCATTGAATCCTCACTGGTAGAGACCGAGCTCACAGCAACGCGAGGCGGTGGGGCGACCGGCGTGAGTCGTCGTAATATGCCACGCTGATACCAAGGATGTGCTCGTATGGCTTCTACAGACAAACGCTCTGCGGGTGGGTGTGCCAAAGCACGAGTAAGGAAATTCATCAAATCCGGAGGTAACCGAGAGAACAACGGGCCAGAGTGAAGGTTTTTTCTAGCAACCCATTGCTTGTAAACAGGATCAGTAATAGGATTAGCGCGCGACCAGCAGCGCTGACCAGTGACAGCAGTGAGGAGCGTGACACCCAAGGAGAACAGGTCCGCTGGCGGTCCCGTGTACGAGCTGGAGGAGAGAAGTGGCAATGCAAAGTGTCGTATGGAAGGACTTCTGTAACCGCACACAGATTGCTCACAATAGGACTGCCGAAAAAGAGGACTATTCTCAAGGTACGGGAAACGTAGTGGTCTCACGAATAAGTACAGTCAACATGGATCGGTTATACCAAAACCACAGCTGGTGGAGTTTTACCGTATCAAAACCGTATCAAAACGATGTAAATCGTCAAAAAAGAAATCGATTGGAGAAGGTAGGGGACTCGTAAAAACGTAGCCGGTGAAAGGCTTTAAGAAGAAGTGAGCTATATGCAAAGTTCGCTGGTGTGGCAGTAGGTAATCGAAAGAATTTGTTGTAATCCGATTTATGGCATCTTGTAACCAAAATAAAAACTTTTTCAAGTTCCTGAAATGGGCAAATATAGCCAGTTGATACTGCACAAGTAAGTACCACGATCCTGCTCTAAATCCAAAAAATTTGATCAATATCGTAAATAAAAAATTGCTGCTTTGCGCGGGATCGCGATCAACTGCGCATTGATTAGCGCAATGATGCACCAGCGCACATAGGGCTCCACAGTGCTTCGTACCCTAGCTTCTGTGGTTCGTTCAGTTCAGTTACTTAGCTATGACTAGGGCACTGAAACGCAGTAGATCCAGTTACCAAGACTCGTGTCGCAAAGATAACGAAAGTCAACGCAGGAAAAAATAAGGAAGAATACAAACGAAACACAAATAAAAGGGGGTTCCCTAAATGTTAATTGCACTACGACATCAATACCTAAATTTAAGAAGCAGAATGCTGGAGCAACATTGACTGTTTGACTGCGTCATATCCGATAACGTTTGCGACCAGTGATGTGTACGAAAACGGCATGCCTCAGCGAGACCAAAGCTCTCAGTAAATGTCATCATATCTTTATGCCACGGCATCGACTGGCCACCCCGCAGTGTACCTAAAATAATTGCAGCAGCAGCATACAATGTGTCCCGAGGGCAACGGTAAGGTATGGCCCAGTAAACGTAAGCAGTCCGTTGAGTACACCAGTGTGGTACCAGAGCGTTTTCAACAAAAACCAATCGGTGGACTTTAGCATTACTTACCCATCTCGATGCAGATGGAAGATGACATGATTCGTGCAACTGCGTGATTCACTAGGTTATGGAAAATTGCGCTCATAAGAGACACTCGTACACGACAAGTCATATGTTAAAAGTCAAATATGCTATAGAAGGTAGGTGAAGTTAATGGCTCTCTCTCGAAGCAACCATAGTAAAGTAGAAGGTTGCGGGTTAAATGTCAGCTCGAGTAGCGTAGAGCACGATTGCCACGCCCTATCTATGACAGTGAGACAGAGCACCGTGTCCAATGGCTTGCAACCGTCCGCCTAAAACCAGGTAGTCAATGCTCTATCCGAGTGCGAACTCGTCGAATCCCCCCTGCGGCTGGTCGTGGTCACATGTGCGCAACGCTGTTACAAGGTTGTTTGTGACAGGATTCAAGCGGATTTCGATGAGACGCCACGGTGGCACCCCGGAGTTGGACGCGCACCTCTCAATTCACTCCCGTTAAACAGTAATAATTGGAGGAAAAGAAGTGCGATAGAAGCAATTACTACAAGTGACGTCGCCAGGATAAATAAAAATAACGACGGACAGAAAATGATGTTGAATGCAAACAATGCGAAGAAAATGTACAAAAGGCGAAAACTAATCGGGGCGGAATGAGGAATAACAGCTAGATGCAAAAAGAGAATGCAGGTACGCCACTGAATTCACGTCATGTTTGATATGGTCTCCATCCACTTGTATCGACAATGTCGAAACCCCCATCCACGCGCCAGCCTGACCAAATCTCTCAATCAACCTCTTCATGCGTCTGTGCCACCTCATGAACTGGCCACCTCGCGGTTTCAACTAACTTGGTGCAACCACGGAGTATAATGCACGCCGAGGAAGCCGGTCAATGGACATACGGGAGATATGGCCCAGCCAGCGCAAACTACTAAGATTTATCAAACACTCGACAGAGGCACCAGAAGGATTCTTGTTAAAAACCAATTGGTGAACCTCAGCATTGTTCACCCGGTGTTCTCACCAAACCTGAGCAATACTTTGCAAGCACCGGGGGTCAAACACGGTCAGGCGTTTAATGTCTTCGCTCCGGGCTGGCCAGGTCTTTGATCCATACATTAAAACCGGCATTGCCGCAGTGTTAGACACCCTACCTTTCACTGACAGGCTGATATCCCGCCGTCTCCATAGATGGTGCATCAGCATCTCCGGATACGTGTAAGTAGTTGCGAGAGGACAATCCGGGTGCAGTTAATTCAACAAACCCGTGAGCGTAATTGATCATAGTTTCGGACACAGAACACACGTCAGTACCCAGTGTATCCAACGAGCGTGCGAGCGGCGCCTGTTGACCTATTTGTTTTAGAGTGTGAACATTGAACGCCACCAACGAAACGGGACGGTGTAGCCATATAAGAGACTATTGACGATAGGTTTTCAGTGGGTGGTGCGGGAACATAGCTGCAGATGGTTCGATTCCAGTGTCATTACGGCTGCTGTCAATTCAGCTGCAAATTATAGAAGGCTGGTAATGAGGGTTGAAGCGGAGTAAGAGGCACAGTTGGAAACAAAGGGAGAAGCCAGCAATAACATTTTCGTTTATGCGCCCTGCTGTATGTAGCAGATAGGGCGACGCTTAATAAGCTGTGCGACGGTCGATGCAGGATCAAGTTGAAGTTTGTGGAAATTGTCATGGTTGTATGTGGGCTTACAGCCAGGGCGCCCGGACATAGACAGGAGGACGATTAGGGTCCCCAACCAAAGCCTTTGGCTCAAAAATCTGTCCGCAAAGCAGCGGATGTGGCAATGGTTCCGTTTTACAGATATGGACATCATCGCACCATTTCAAACCCCCAACTTGGAGGACCGGGAGAATGAGTTCGTCTGACCTCGAATCATTGAGTAACCTGGTAGGAGTATTTTTCAAGGGGCCTAAGAGCACCACCCGCAATACCTCAATGGATCAAAGAGGTGCGCCAACCGTCGTACACAGTTAAGGTAGTATGGTACTATGCATCATCTCTCTGAATATAGAAAACGTACAAAACACTCATACATTAATTAAACCGACATTAAAACCGGGACCTGATGGCATTCTCCCTGAGGCTATAAAGTTAGCTAGGGTAAACCTACCCCTCCTCCTCCTCATGTGGAGCATTTTGAACTATCATTAAACACTGGCCGCGTCCCACCTCAGTGGAACAATTACATAATTATGCCAAACACAAAGGTGGTATACTAAATTGGAGGTCAAACTATCGGCCGGTAAACCATACTTCCGCCGCTGCCAGAGTCTTAGAAGGCCGGCCCGTAGCCTAAAGGATCACAAGCTGGTCTTGTAATTCGAGGGTTCGGGTTCGAGCTTGCGCAGAGGATCGAGCGACCCTTGCAGTATCTGTAACTCACGCATGAATGTTAGTGGTTGCGCGGCAGCGAAGTGTCGGTACTGCGGACCGGTGTACTGCTGATACTTTCTTAAGGCCTTTGAAAGAATTGTCAAGAATCGAGTAACACAGTACCTGACAAAACAAAACCTACGCAGCAGTTTCCAATATGGGTTCACTATAAAATGTACCTGTGTTACATGCTAATTACAATTTCCTGATCATGTTACTGTGATCCTAGCTGATGGCATGGCCATCATCATCATCCTTCTGGATATGCCAAGAGCGCTTGACTGTGTACTGCACAAACCATCGTTGACCGTGATTGAGTCCTATGGAATCAGCAATTCTCCATTGTTTAATAATAAGTAGACGGATTTCGGTACGAATCGATTTGGTTCATCGCAATTAGATTCCAAACTGCATATGTAAGCTACCAATCCGGAAAAGCAGCAGACGTGCGTTTCGCCCCATTTGGACTAGTCAGTGGTGCGCATCCATCGGTCCCCTACTGGGGATCGAACCCATGACCGCTAGAGGCTAACACCAACTAGCCAGCAGCTTATGCTACTGAGCCATGGGAGACGATAGCCGAACATTACGAACTGAAACCTAACTACGATATAGCCCGACCCATCCTCCACTGCCGTGCAGAGGACAGTAGTTGGCCGTCAAGGTCAGGTCTTCCCTTGCGAGCGCCGTGAACTCACACAGCAATTTTGAATACTGGTAGGGCTTAGATCTTTGATTAATAATGAGTAGACGAATTTGGGTGTGATTCGATTTGGTTCATCGCAATAGGGCGAAACGCGCGTCTGGTGTTTTTCTAGATTGGTAGCTTACCTATGCGGCTTGGAATCTAATTGCGATGTACCAAATCGAATTCTCTGTTGTGTTGGTTCGACTCATATCCCAACGGCCGAACACAAAGAGTACAGATTGGTCACTAATGTTCTACTTCCAGAAATGTCACTAGCGATGTCGTTCAGGGCAGTGTATTGGTCCCATTGCTTCTCCTCATTTACCAAACGATACATGGGTACAGTACAGTTTTGTCTGCTAACGACATTAAAGTAGCGTACTCATTTTTACCTGACCACTTATAACTATGCCTAAAAAATACAAACGAAGACCTATCATCCCTAAAATAATGGAGCGAAAGCAGACCGATGAGGTTTTCTGCAGATAAGTCTCAGATACTCTGCCACAGATGCAGTATACCAGAAGGATCCATCAATCTTACTGGCACCCCCATTCTAACTACGTATTCCTTTCGAGATCTGGGAATTCGATATTGGAGCAGATCTAACTTCATCGAACACATTCCACAACAAGTAGCGAAAGCGAAGCAACCAACTCACTAACTCATTGTGCGACCCGCTCTAGAGTACTGCACCATCATACATAGCCACTAACGTAAAACAGATAGAATTGTTTTGGAAAACGTCCAGGGCTCCATTGTCAAAATAATCATGGGGCGCTCACCTATGAGGAACGATGTTCTTATCTCCAGCTCGACCCACTCTGGATTCGACGGTTGAAAAACAATCCCACTCTTGTCTACAAAACAATATACTCATAAGTCAGCTCAACCAGTAGGGTTGTTGCTTTACAAAAAGGCTCAACCTATCCCAACTCGTAATGAGAAATGTCCACTACCTTACAGTAGACCTAGAAAAATATCCGCTTAAATGTCTTCTTGTTGAGGTACGCCCATCTGTGGAATGAACTACCGTTGCAATAAGGATCTGTGAGAATTTGTCCATACATAATTTAAAAACTTTTCTTCCCTTGCCAAATGTGGTCAAACGTTTCGGTTCTCAGCGATCCACGAGCGCACTTATGGAATCTGGCCCGAAAAACTCATGACAATATTAATTTGCAAATAATGTGACTTATTACATGCCCATAAAAACATTTAATCACTGTTCCAAAATGAATGCAAGTTCATAAATGAAATGTTGACGAAAATCGCTGCACAAATGATTGTTCCATAAAACAGAACGTATCCCGCCTGTCGGGAAGTATGCTCATTTATTTTATTTAGTTACTTGACGGTCTGAAAGGTCACGTATCACCTTTTGGCTTGCGTTCAAGGTGCAGTGTGCCACTGTAGGGCTGAGCCGATGCATCACCCGTTCTTACTATCACCGGGCAACCGTTTGAATTTATGACCTGCCTACGTATTTATATAGATGATCACCACTGGTGGCACAATCACCGAATGAGTTACTACGCACAGTGAAAAAATCGGCACGGAGTTCCCAAGTTTCGGTAACTTGTAGTGACGGCGTGATTAGGCCTAAAGGTAACTGTAATACGTCGGTACGCCATACCGACGCTTCGCTGCCAAACAAGCACTCCCAGTCGCACGTGTGCTAAGGAAACTGCGTAGGACGCCCGGAAGACGCACTGGTCTAATAATCAGGGGAAACATTCACGCTATGGCGCGACCAATGTTGTAGTATAAATCAGCGATCTGGTTACTGTTCGCTGAGGATGTTAGGACGCAGACCATGTTAGACCACCGCTACGTGCAGAGTATGACTCACATCTAGTGGATGAGCCTAGTAAGCAATACCGAATTTTCATCAATTGATGTTTCGTAACAGACTGCGTCGGTTGAACTCGGATCGTCATCGCCGACTCGGTCATGCGTTTCGCACACCAGCCAGTCTATCAACTAGGCATATAATATTTCCCGTGGCGGAACTCCACGCTGTCGGGCGCATCCCCAGATTGCGGACTGGGGAATGCTCTCCTTGTGGAGGCAACCGAGAATACGTCATATCTGCTTTGCAGGCGAGACGAATAAACAGTCGCGGACAATCAGAGGCTGCGTCTCAGAGCGTGAAGGGTTCTGGGTTGGTCACTTGGTTCCTCATTAAATACCACAAGTGCTCGTACGGCGCTGTGTCAAAGCTAATGTGACCGGCTATAGGGTTACTGACCATTCACATCTGTAACTGGAAATGAGAATTTAACGGAGGGCGGATGAACAACGATGTTGGCCACCGGCTTCTCTGTGGACTGCAACCGAACACAAAGAGGGTGAATGTGCCACCTAGCTTTCAACGGTCTTCGTATTCGCCACGCTGCCTTGCGAGTCAGATGCTTAAACCAAAGGCTCGAGGTGGGGTCCCTTAAGTTAACGCTCTTCCTCGGTCAGGGAAAACGGGAAGTTCTCTGCCCACACAGCATATGGAACTTCGCATCCCTTCCCTTGACTCTCTTCCTCCATTTTTTGTTGTTACTCATGTGCGATGGCACACTACCAAATGTTTACTGAGCGCTTCAATATATATATATATATATATATATATATATATATATATATATATATACATATGACGACATCAAACACAGTTAGATTAAACCCCGAAATATCCTGTCAATGATAAAACAAACAAGCAAAAGCCGGGTTGGTACATGCTGTCCTCTTGAATGGGGTCCGCAGCCACAACACCGGTTTGGACAATATCTGACACGGCGTCAATGCATTTGTTTCTTCGCTTCAGACTCCCAATCATCCCGTCTGACGAGTTCAGCTCCTGTGCATCCCTCTTGAATTAATATTGCGAACAATGTTGTCATGGTTGCTTTGACGACACGTGTCAGAGCAGCTAGATCTATCGCATCTCAATGCACAGACCAGAGTAGATGAAATAGTACTGAACTGAACTGCTTACACAGTACTCGCGCCAAATGCGAGCAATACTCCGCAGGCACCGGGGATCCAACACGATCAATCTCTCAGTTTCCGGGGTAATGTGGGCAGGTTTCTGATTCACAGTGATAATGGCTCTGCTCCAACGTTGAACACTTTGCCTTTGACAAACTGGTTGACATCCCGCAGTACCTATGGACGATTTAAGCGTAGGCGATGAGACACCAAAGGTGATACGACTACTAAGGAGGGTGAACCGAACGACCAATTCCAGTGGTTGTTGGCTGATAGCTAGAACCGGTGGGGTCACAGTGTCTTTCAAGTTGGACGTGCAGAAGACACGGCAAAGCACTGCGCCAACGCATCCAGAAACGCTTAGCGTGATACTTGAGACATCTAGTGCAAGACCAGCAAAATGGGGAACCCCAATCAATGTGGATAAATATCAGTGGCCTCACCTCGTGCCAAACACTTCTGGAGCAGCATAACTGGTAGTGCCAACGGGGCCCCGTAAAAGGCTTGATTTGCGCATATCAACAGCCCACCCGAAATCGATCAGTTTGGCTCGATCCTTCTTCGTTAGCATGATGTTTTCAGGTTTCACGTCCAAATGTGCGATGAATTGTTCAGTGTGTAGATAATGCAATGCGTCTAAGATCTGGAAGAAGAGCAAGAGACAGAGGTAGAGAATGCCAAAAGTACGTGAGTTGTGGTTGACGCTCAACAACAAAGCACTAAACTCATCTTGGTTGATCCGCATAGTGAAGCTACGGAGATATCCCGGTTGGAAGTGATAACGCATGAGGCAACTTATGGTTTAACCGTATGATCAAATGCAATTTTGGACAAACAGAAACTGCAATAAAACCTTAACCAAGTGATCCTGGTGGTAAAATCCGCAATCTCATACTGACAGCGTCGGCGGGTCTACGCGAGATGAAGGACCCAATATTCGAGTCATCCGCTTGTGTTCAATATCCTGCTCCTTATCGGCTGCAACTGCTGATGCCTGATGGCGTACATGCATCATCGTTCAGTAGAATAAAGTCCTAGTGATCAAGGAAAATTACCCCGAAAATATATTAGTTCAAGCAATGGCGAAGGTCGTGTTGTAACGTGGAAAGTGTCCCCTTGCACTCTAGCATAATGGAGTGAGCACTCGGAAATATCTGCTGCTGACGCATGTTCGTTCCACACGCTACAGTTCATGCTTTTTCGTACGAAGCGTTCGTACAATCCAACCTTCAACTCGTTCAGGAACAAATTGCGTCATTAAAACGACTCAACCGGATGACGCAGCATGAGCTGATGGAGCGACGCTGGAGTTCGCAAACACCGTCAAATCCGATCCCCAATACTAAGCAACGCCAAATGGTCATCGAAATCGGTCGACACGAGAGCGGCGTTGCAATAGCGGAATAAACCCACAAAGAGCACTGGTTCCACAAAAGATTAAACTAAAAAAGTAAGAGGCACTTTCAAAATATTGTGTTACATAGCATAAATGATCACGTGAACAACGCGTCATTAGGTAAACTGATTATGTTTAGAGAGCACAACGATGGTGACGCTTGGCCCAGGCTGTACCACAGTGAACGAAAACAACTCGCCAGCTCCCTATGTTGTCTATGATGACTCAATGCAATTGTCTAGCAATCATACGATACACAGTCCACCGCCTCCAGAAGGTTCGCCTTGTAGTTGCATGATCGAATCGTTGATGACCCAACTAGACAAGCAGAAAACCCACACATGCAGAGTTGAGAGTTGGAGACGCCACGTCCCCCATAGCCAGACTAGTGTGGTCTACTCCAGCAAGGATCCGTGGGAGACTATGCCAAACAAGTGATGCTGAACGAGCCCTGATCCTCAAAAACGAACAGTTAAACAAGATCATCATTAGTATACATCAGCTAAAGGTGCGAAATATCTCAACTATCGTGGCGTAATAGAAAACAGAAGATATAAAAAGGTGAGACACTAAACATTACAGAACACAAAAAACAAATAATATAATATTTGGTGTAATACTAAGACAATGAGACAATAATACTAAGACAAACAGGTCAGCAGGCTGCACTCGCACGCACCTTGGACACACTGGGTGTTGATGTGTGTTGTGTGTCCGAAACTAGGATTAATGACCCTAACGAGGTTATTGAATTGACTGCACCCGGCTTATCCTCTCGTTATTGGTTGCACGCATCCGGAGACGCCGATGCGGCACTCACGGGTCAAGCTGGTGTAAGTATCATTCTCAGCTCCAAGGCTGAGCCATTGATTGGATTCCGGTGAACAGCCGTTTATGTGCAGCCCGTTTGATGACATCAGATAAGGTGAATTCGCGAAGTAGTGCAAAACGCTGTTTGTTTGTGATTTCCGCTTATGCCCCCATCGACTGCAGTTCTGATGCTGTCAAGTACACTTTCTATCACGAACTGAACGCCCTACTACGCAGTGCTACTAGTTCAGATATTATAGTACTTGCAGGGGATATGAACGCACAAGTAGGGCGTCTGAGCTCTTCTGAAGCTCAGCTGGGTGGTAATTATGGACTTAACTCCGAACGGACTGACAACGGCGAGCGTCTGCTGCAACTGTGTACGGAGCACCAGTTGTTTCTTAGTAGCACTGCTTTTAGACACAGTGGGCGCCGAAGTGCCACTTGGCGCCCTCCTGTAGCTGGCCAGCGATGGACCCAAATTGACCACATAGCCATAAGTTACAGGTGGCGCGGTTCCATTCTGGAATGCCGCTCGTACTGGAGTACCTGTGTCGACTCTGATCATGCCCTGGTGCGCTGTCGTTTCTCCATGAACTTTACCGGAAGGCGCACAAAGCGTCTCCCCCGATTGGCAACGGAGAAATTGTCCCAGCCCTTGGTCAGGCAAGCCTATCAAGAAGCATTGCATACCGAACTCTCGCTGTCTTGTCCTAATGACACTGAACTTCAGCGGAAGAGGATCTCGGCCGCCATGCACGACGCAGGAGCATTTGTTTGTGGCACTATCCACTGTCACCGCACCAGTCACTGGATATCCGAGGTCCGTGAACCTGTTGGAAGCTAGAAGACACCTTCCGGCTGGTTCTGAACACATTGTGACCAGACGGGCTATTAGGCGCGAACTAAAGCGGAGCCTACGTGCTGACAAGGAAGTCTGGTGGACCAGTCAAGCTCAAGAAATGGAGGAGGCAGGAGCGGTAAACAATTACCGCAAGCTCTTCCAGCTGATCCGTACCACTGGTCCCAGAAAACCGGGCGTCAGTGAGACAATCAGGGACAGCGCGGGTGCGCTGATATACAATAAGGAGCGTCGTATGGCTCGTTGGGCTGAACACTTTGAATATCAGTTCAGCTGGCCCCCTACTCCCGGACCTCTACCTACTCAGGTGATGCAGGACGTGCCACGGATGGTTAGTTTAGAGCCTCCTATCGGATAGCTTTTCGACTACAAGTGGCGTTCGTCAGGGTTGTCCGATTTCCCCATTGTGGTTCAATTTCGTCGTGGATTCTATCATGGAGTGTTCCCTTGCGAGATCTCACGATGTAAACGTTGAAGTTCTGCCTGGTGAAAGATTAGTTGATCTTGATTATGCGGACGATATCGTCTTGCTTTTCGACGATGTTGCGACTGCACAATCAACCCTGAATAGCCTGTCTAGAGTGGTCCCATTATTTGGTATGTGCTTCGCACCTTCAAAGTGCAAAGTGTTGCTGCAGGACCACCAGCCACTTGATGATCCCTCGACGCTTGCTAACGAGGAACTCGAGGTGGTTGATCATTCCACTTATCTTGGCAGCTGCATCAGCAATGATGGGCGCATAGAAACTCACGTCAGCTCACGCATTGCAAAGGCCAGAGCTGCCTTCTTGAACCTGCGTCATCTTTGGCGACAGAAGGGAGTTTCCGTCCGTCTGAAAGGCCGTGTATACAAGGCCACAGTGAGGGCCGTTCTGCTCTATGGTAGTGAAACTTGGCCCCTTTGGTCTGAAGATCTGAGACGCCTCCAAGTCTTTGATCATCGTTGTTTGCGAAGCATTGCTGGTGTCGGATGGCACCAGCGTATCCCCAACGATGATGTGCGTAGGCGAGTACTAGGTAGTGATAATCATGCTAGCTCCCTAGAACAACAGATAGCACTGAATAAGTTGCGTTGCCTCGGGCACATGCTACGTATGCATGGTCACCGCTTACCTAGGAGGGCCTTGTTCAGTTTACCAGGTGTAGGATGGCGCAAGGCTCGAGGTGGACAGAAGTTGACTTGGCAGCGGGAAATGAAGTCACTGACAACCAAACTGGGTGCCGTTGGTCCGTCTCGCCTTCCGGGTTGGAGTCCACGTGACTCGCCTTGTGCTTGGCTCGAGACTTTGCAGGACATGGCTCGCAACCGACACCAGTGGCGCGTCTGCTGCCGTCTTCTAATCGGATTGCCTGTTTAAAGTATGTTTGGTGCTGAGTTATCTGCGGGGTAATAGCTGATTATGACGCGGGGCAGTGAAAGCCGCAAGGAAGCTGTCTCGCCGATGCCGCCTTATCTTTGCACGATAGCCAGCTGTTTGTGACGGTATGTTGTCTACACAAGGTGTAGGCGCCTTGACCCTGAATGTTTTGCTTAGGGCATTAAGATTTTCAGGTAAGTCCCACTTTCTCTCCCCTTTTATTATTCTTTACTTCATAGGTCCTCATGGTTGTATGGCAGCGAAGCATCAGTTCAAATGGCTGATGTACTGCTGTTGATGTTGTTGTTGTTGTTGTTTGGTATAATACTAGGCATTGAGCGCGAGATCATCGTTGACGTGGGGAGCAAGGAGGGTGGGCGATGAAAAAATAGGCTTCTAACACTGCGTCCACTGAGGTGAACACCTGGTCATGTCAACAATTGAGGCCAAAAGCGCATTCATCGTCGAAGTAAGAGTCTGCATCCCTCCTTATCAAGACATCGCTTGGGCACCCATTCTCCTCCTACATCCATACCCGTAGTGCGCAATCGATGCAAGTCGTGGGAGTCGAGGTGTAGGCATGTGCAACACGTGGCCCAGTAATCGGAACCCGGTGTGGGAGAAAACGGTGTTGAGTAGATCAATCGCCCTTAATGCACCAAACACGAGACGCACATTGCTCACGAGGTGTTCCTACCAGACACGAGTTAAGCAGCGAAGGCAGCGATAGTCGAACGTAACTGGCCTCTTTGTGTTTCGCAACAGTAAAGGAGAATTCAACGGACAGCTGCTTTGCACGTTTTACCCTTCAGAGACAGCGATATCGCGCCGGCGTTACAGGCGGTGGAGATTGACAAATTACCTCGGGCTTTGGCTATACAGTTCGTGATCTCATCCTTGATCACACGGGCGTCAATATAGTGGCCTAGACACTGAAATTTCTGGACGACTCCTCGCTGCCCATCACCAAGGGTCCGCGCAGAAGTGGGTGTCTGCTAATCTTGAGCGGCGTAAAATATAGCCCGAAGAGAGTGACAGTCAATGCTAACTGGCATGTTTGAGAGCTGTCACAGACTAGGGCAATGTCGTCCGCATAGTCTACCACAAGAAACCGATCACCTAGAGCAGCTCCACACCCTCTAAGTCGTGCCTATTGAATGCCATTTGCATGACTTCGTCAATAGTGAAGTTAAAGAGGAAAAGTGAAAGCGAGTAACCTTGTTTCACACTGCTGGATAGATTTAAGAACCGCGACAGTTGGCCATAAGCCCTCAAACTGCCCGAACTATGCACGTACAGCGCTTTTACGTTATTTACATGTTTATTGGGAACCTTATTCTTGAGCAGACAGTGCCAAAGAGCACATCAATCCACCAAATCAAAATCCCCGTTGATACGTAGGAACACGATTATAGTGGGTGGCCAATAAATATCGCGGTGTTCCAACAACTGACGTAATGTGAAAATGTGATCAATACAGCCACGAGTCCAACGAAATCCGGCTTGCTCCTCATGAATCCAGCTTTCACGAGTGCCAGTCAGTCAATGGAGAGCTGCAGAGGCAAAAAAACCCAGAGGCAACTAAAATCACACTGATACCCGTATGACTGCTGCATTCCGAACGGGAGCGTCCCTTGAAAATTGGGACTACAACGGAGCGGTTCCAGTCTGTTGGAACAGTCTCCTACTTAAACAGCTTCAAATCATCCACAAGGACTTGAGATTGAGGAGTGTTGAGTGAAGTCTATTTGTTCCTGCCGCCTCATTAAATTCCAACAGCCGGATATCACGTTCCACTTCTGCACGTGAAGAGTGATCCAATGGGACGGCTCAAGGAGCAGTGCGATCAATAGCCGATAAGAAAGCTGGTAATATGGGTGATTAAACTTTTTTTCAAAGTAGATGGAAACTGAGTGCGGCCCTTACGAGAAAAATACACACAGCAACGCGTTTTGACCTTATTTGATCTCACTAAGTAATAGCAGGCCTCGAATCCGGGAGACCATCGGGATGTTAGTCGGGATCTCTGTCTCTTTAACCAGCGGATCACGACGGGCAACGCGTAACACAACGGTTAATGACTAATCGGAGAGCCATTCTGAAGTATTCATGTGGACCGTGATTCGCAGTGACGTGAATCTTGGTCAATTCGATTATTACGACCGTAGCTGAAGCAGATAGAAGTCTATCTGCTCCAACAGCCTCCTACGATTTCAACCGACTTCGTGTTAGACTTTGGCGTGTGAGGGCGGATACAATGAGATGGCGTAGGGAATAGGGCCATCTCTGGCCCCCTGAGGAACTTGATAACCTTGGCCGATTAAATCGCTTCTCAAAGTGCTCGGCTCAACGCTCCAAGCGCTTTGATAATCTGCACATTGGATGTCCACTCTCGCCGCAGTCTCGCTAACACCAGGTCTCTTGCTGCACGTTTCCAGTATCAGACAGAAAAGCTTCTGATGGTCACCAAGGGCAACATCTGTCTCCATCTCCAATGCATGATGAGATTACCATGCTTCGCGGTCTCTCTTCAGGGTAGCAGGCAGTCTCGCCCTGAGGCCTTTGCGAGTCCGGTGGCGTTAGCTCCCAGCCGGGATATGTCAGCGAGCATCTAGAAGTTTCACAGAATGCGTAGAGGACCAGTGTCCGGGTGGACAATCAAATTCACCCCATGAAGATATGCCTGCTGCTAATAACGACTGGCGTAAATGCAACCAGTGACCGACAACTGTGATCCTCAGTGAGCACTTACTCAAACCACACGTCAGTGTAGTTTGATAATGCAGTCAGAACACATGGCCTCGTCAGCTGTCCATGCGCTCACAGCGTCACGGCAGGTATACGTCGAAGCGAACTCGAATATCGGCACGTATAAGTTAGTGGTCGGAGGCCAAGCTCGTGCTCAAAACCGAACGGCGGTCTTGGAAGCAGCCGCTCCAGCAGTAACTGATCACGATTTAAACGATTCGCGTCCATGGCAGGTGGGCACCATGTCATTCTTCTGCCGGTGCTGTGTCGGAAGTTAGTGCTCGCGAGATACATGTTAGCACATTCACAGGTGTAGTAAGCACTCACCGTTATCAATACGAAAGCCCACACCATGCTGCCCACCAGACGCAACTCATCAGTGGTCAATTTTCCAACTTGAGTGTTCAGATTATCAGCCAGCACCACAGTATCCGTCCTCCTTCTATGATGAAGGAGCCCGTTCATTTGGTGAACGAAGTAATCTTTCACCGAGTCAGCGCCAGTTTGTGGGGGCGTAGGCCGCAATGACAAATAGGCACCGCTTGTCGATGCGCGGCTTCGTAGCTCTGAATAATCCAGCCAAACGGACAACATTTGGCCGTTGATTGCGATCCAGTCTACTAGGACAACTTCAGTCCATGAGAGCAACGCCTACACCGGTTTGACCGGAATTTGAAACTGCGCCATCTCTAGGCAAGCGCAATGACAAAGTACCGCAAAGTCGCATGTGGGGGATCGCAGGGTAAGCACATAGAACAAATCTTGCAGGCAAGTTTCCGATAAACAGCTGATATCGATCGAAAGAGTCATAGTGTTTGAGCGAGTGCAAATGTACGCTGAGGTATGCCAGTTGGAACGGGACCATAAGGGTGAAAAAGCGCGAGAAGGGGAATAAGAAGACGGGAAGTCTTGAGCAATAACATCCAAACCCCTATCCACCCTGCTCGATGCAGCAGATAGGGCGTGTTTGATTAACTTCTGCAGCGACCAGAGCATCAAGAAATTGTTTGAGAAAAGATCCATAGTAATGAGTGGACAGGATACTGTCAGGTTGCCAAGGCCTATACAGGAGAACGATTAGGGTTCTCAACCAAAGCCTCTGATTCAAAAATCAGACCGCAAGGCAGTGGGTTTAGCAGTGGACTACAAGGAGTCCGTTTAAGGAATAAGGAGCTACGCTCACTTCAAGTCCCAACCAGGAAAAACAGGAGATGAGTTTGTCTGGTCTCTGACCAATGATCCATCGGTTATGAGTGACGCTGAAAGTGCAAGAAGCATCACCTAGCATAGCTCAATGTATCGTTGAAGCAAGCAAACCATCACAGCACGTTAAGGTCCAGTGTCACCTCGTTGATGAGTATCTTTAACACACTGTGTCCACCTCTTTGGCTGCATTATAGTGCTGTACATCTATCTTTGATCAGCTATCAAATAATCTTCATAGATGATAAAGGTGTCGAAACGTTCTGTGAGCCTCACCGATCCAATTGTGGTATCGATGAATACAACAGGGCAAAACTGCATCGATCCATCAGTTCCGGCAGATGCGAGTGGACATAGGAGAAATCATGCACCCATATCCGGGCGATTTGAAACTTCGAAGAATCTTCCGTCTGCGTCAGTCTCCTCAGAAGCGCTTGCACAGAAGCTGGGTCCAGTCTCGAAAGCACTAGAACAATCGTGCATTCTAAGCTGAGCAATCAGTCGCTTAACAGAGGCTTCGCTCAGCATGTTTTTCTTTTTAAACAAGTTGGAAAGGAAAACGGTCATGATGCCATTAAGGAATTCCGGTGGTTGATGTGAACTATGACGATAGTCTCTCATAGACTCGTAAACGGTTCCGAGTGTCACAACGAAAGGACTTAAGGGTATTAAGGAAGCTCTTCAGTAAGCCATTGAAAAATAGTGCAATAAGCCAATACGACTAGCCAGAGCAAAAGCACTCATCAAGCGTAAAGACATGATCGCGGTGTGGGGTGCTGTTTCAGTACCTGATGCAGCGCTTCTCCTATTAAGGTAAAACGTAAATGGCATTTCAAAGCTTTATTTCACCGAGACACACGGAATGTTAACCTCAAGATAGCACACAAGTAAGCAAACAAAAGGAAGACAGTTGAAAACGTACAGCCGAAAGAAACTTCCCAAAAGCATCGTAGAATTTCGAAGATTCTATTTGCGCTCAGGTGATCAGCATTGATACGTACAAGGAAGTGCATTAGGTCCAATTTCTCCGATCCACATCGTTGAGTAACAACACAAATATAATATTATTTTTTCAGGTCAGGTCGCGAAGCTGTAGTGGTCCGAGCGGATGAGTAAAACGAGATGACTGGGTATAAATCGGATAGGTAAAACTGATCTTTCCGTCCGATGGGATTCCCTAATACCATGAATATGTTGTGATCAGCGTCCTCAGTTGAAATAGAATGGGGACATGCATCAACGGTCCGCCGTAATCCCCACGGCTTGGTAACAAACATTGTCAGCTAGTGGCGCAAGCCGCTAATGGTCACGGGCTCATCTCATGCGCATTACCAACAAGAAGAAACGGCCGTCCAGGCACATACAGTACGGTCTGACTTGGAAGCGGCTGTGAAGAATCCTCAATTAATGTCATGTAATCATCTAAAGAATAAATCGTCGTGCTGTGCTCCCTAGACACATTGAATAAGAGAGATGCATGCTAAAGTGAGGGCCATCTAATTTACCACAGCAAGCGCCGCTTTGTCACCCAGACAAATGGCAAGCAATGAAGCCGTGCCGATTTTCTAGTTCAAGCAACCAATGGTAATTCGGATAGCCCATTAGCGCAAAAGTGGACAACAGCTACGAAGCCTTCTCTAATAGCGCTAGTGACGAACAAAAATATACAAAGCGGATGGCCTTGACGGACACGGAACACCACACAGGAGTGCAAGTTGGTCAGTTCGTATTCTATCCCCATGTGCGTCCAAAGACGATCAAGTATAGTTCATCCACAAGGTGACGTGTCTAAGATGGTTTGCGCATGCGACTCACAATCCTTCCAATACTGGCGGCTTTATCTCTCTCATACAAAGTCAAGAAAGGTTGGGTTATGGTAAAACACCGATGAAATGTGTAGTTGAATATTCTCAAAAATAGACGAACTTGGGAATAATAGATGAACATCTGTTGTACGTGCAGCCCAATACCGATTGGAATGCGATCGAACAGTTCACCACCAGGGAGCAATTCCATAAACATGAATATGAAGGACGGAGTGTTCCTGTCAGAGAAAAGAATCCAGATAACGTCAAATGAAGTATTATCTCCAAACATCATAATGTATCAAGAGCAATGTTTAACACACTTTTGCACTCACGACCGAAGCTCAAAGTAGCTGTGCAAGGGACCACAGAAACTGCTTTAGCACGCGATTTGAAAGTGAATTGTTCCTATAACGGCAATTCGGCTTACATTATGGAGTTAAGCTTCGTGAACCAATGGACAGAGGTAAGAGGCCGAAAATGAGTGTTAGATGTAGTATTCTTCCCGCTTTTCTTTATAATTATATTTGTTTTAACATCTTCATAGTATATAAATGTATCACTTTACACTGATCACACACTCCTTAATATACGCCCCTGCCATTCTCGCGGAGTTCTGTGGCGTCCCAAAAGGCGACTTTGATCTTTTGTGTACAGTTTTATTAATGAGCAATTGTGTAAAATTCGTCTTTGTCTACTGCTCCCCACCCTCCGCTCATATCAACTAGCACTCCTCTGCTCGGTGAGTTACTGCGCTGATGTTCATTCCCGGTCGCCTCATTCCTCCTAAGGTGCCAAGCAACACAAGACAGGCTAGCATTGGCTGTCGATTGTTTTCGGCTATGCTTGCATCACAAGATTGGCTGGGACCCACACCTGCGCTGACCCATAGTGGTGATCGGCTAGAAGTCATTCAGGAGTTGAAGTACCTTGGCAGCTATATTAGCGCCCGTGGGATCGAAGATATGTCACGATTCGTATAGTAATCTGTGGCGCAGACGCGACATCACTCTCGTCATGAAACGTAAAATTTTAACCCAGCCGTCCGTTCAACTCTCTTTTGCGGTTGTGAAACCTGGCCCATCAGATCGAAAGATATAAAGAGGTTAGCTAAGTTCGACCACCGCTGCCTTCGCCGCTTAGCTGATGTCTGGTGGAAGAACCGCGTGAGCACTGAACGTGTTGCGCGTCGCGTATTTGGTGCAGCAAGTGCAAGTGAACGGCTCAGCACCATTATACCACGCACCAAGCTCCGATGGCTGGGCCACATGTAGCGCATGCCAGTGCACCGACTGCTGTGACGTGCGTTGTTAGCGTGCCCGAGGTCTAGACGGAAGATAAGGGGAGGCCAAGCGACGACTTGGTCGGGAGGAAAGAAAACCCTTTTTTCGGAGTTGTCCGTTGGTGTTACGCGACTGCTTGGCTTGGGACCGAAGGATGATGAACAAGTTTGGTTGGACATATTTGCTGATATGGTGAAAAGCTGGCTTCAATGGCGCTTGTGTTGTGAGCTTCTTTGTCCACCCCCTATAGTCCATCCCTTTAGTTTCCACCACTAATTACATCCCATAGCAAATGAATAATATATTTACAATACACAACCTACTTTTTGAACATTTTAGCGTAATTTCTAGCATCTTATCTTCTTCGTATCACAGCATATTAGCTGAGATGTGTTTCTCATCCTCAGCCAAGGTGTATTGATGAGGATGAGGATGATGATGATGACTCACCGAACCCCATAGACAGTCGCAATATTATGATGCTTCAGACGACGCTGAAGTTCCGCCTCTTGGCGAAGTTCCGCGCGAATTTTGGTCGTACGAGTATCGGAGTCGGTGGCAGACGATGCATTGGTGCCCCTGTTGCGAATGTTAACGACCTTGGCAGCCAAACAGTCTTTTGTTTCCGGATTGACAACCAGAAAGACGCGACCCATGCCACCTTCGGCAAGGCAGTGTGATAGTATGTACCCAGGTGGTAGTATCGGTTTGCCCTCTGCATGGATAGTCTGGACGAATGGGAGCAACAAAAAGAAATAAAGCGTTTGGTTTACTTTATGTAATGTCTAGCATTCAAAAAACATTAAATCCAATGTGTAATATTGAATGTATGGCGATACGACTTAATCACACCCAATGCACAATTTTGTGCTCAGTTCTTAGCAACGCAATAAACCATCTGCATCAAAACGAAACAATACACTTTAAAATATAGTGGTAAGTGGACATGAAGAGCAGGTAAAATGGCGGGATGGGTTAATAGAAAACGCACTTCTGTTGGTTATTAACTTAAGCGCAGCTTGCAATACGCAAGAGCTCAGATGGAGGTTTATAAACAGCTTTCCACAACTTCACGTTGGCTGCTCATTTTTTATGAGAACCTAACATTGTGTGCAGAGAAGAGGCCGATTTTGTTGTTGCAACATATGTGAGAAAAAGGTGATGACGTGTTGGTTGCCGAATTATCTCATGATCCCAGCTGGACAATTTCAGATTATCCCGGTCTAGCGGAGGGTGCATCGGCAGTGTCCGGGTGAATATTCTCAATAAACAGGTGCAAAAGCGTTTGGCGAAAACTTGATTCACTACTGGCTTGTCTGCCGAACTACCTCCTCGTGGTGCCAGTTGGGTGGTTCGGGTGTACCCCGTTCCAGCAAAGTGTACGGCGACAATGTTCCACCTCGGTGGGGCATTGTATTTCAGCAATTGTGCTGATTCATGGGCAGCATTGGGCCCCTGTTTGGTGATCTAAACAAAGACGCATGAACTGAACATTCAGTCAGCGCCTCCCAATGGGCGTGATTCCCCAAAATTCGCCCCGCTGGCTTGCGGGTAGGTTATTTAGCCAAAGGCTCGGGGTGGAGTCCCCTAAGTCAACTCTCTACTTCGGCTTGGGCAACCGGGTAGTATCATGCCCTCTCAAAAAACCATGGACTGTTCTACAAGGTGTCCATCAGCTACTGTTTCTACTTCTCACATTCACGCGACCTCATCACACGTCAATTGTTCGTTTGTTAACAATCCTCACTTTCCGTTACCCGATTCATGTGTTCAACAATCTGGCTGCGATTCCGGTTGCGCCGCAGACCAAGGAGTTCAACCTATGGCCCTCCGTCCCCGATCCTTGTTCCGTCTGGCGTGCTTCAATCTTCGGACACTCATGCAGCATGGACAGCAAGCCGGTCTAGCGCACACTCTAGATTCCCTAGACATAGATGTCTGCTGCCTTTCAGAAACCCGACTGCAAGATCCCAGCACTGTGCTTACATTGACATCCCTCACTGACCACGAAGCCAGATATCCCCTGCGTCCTTCTGGAAATCCAGAAGCAGCCTCGGCGGCTATGACTGGTGTAGGTATAGCACTAAGTGGCAAGGCCGAGGAGGCACTACTGGACTGGTTCCCGATTAACACCCGACTATGGGCAGTTTAGCTTCGGGGTTCATGCAGAATCAACAAGCGCCGCGAGGAGAACCGCAACTTGTCCATGATGGCGTATGTTCCAAATGACTGCGGTGGTGGATCGATCAAGGACGACTTCTACCGGGATCTACTTGACTAATGCTAAAAAGTCGGATGTCGTTGTACTGGTTGGGGATTTTAATGCAAGGGTTGGCCGACTGTTACGAACGCCACCTTAGTGGTCATCACGCGCTCGATCAGAACCGCTCCAATAACGGAGAGAGGCTTCTCACATTGTGCAAAGACAACCATCTGTTTCCCTCAAGTACCATCTTCAGGCGTACGAAGAAGCGTTCCGCAACGTGGCATCCGTCTTCGCCAACACAACCGTGGTCTCAAATTGATCATATTGCATTAGCTTCAGATGTCGTGGCAGTGTACTGGACTGTAGGTCCCTTTGATCCACTTCCGCTAACTCAGATCATGCACTGGTATGTGCAAAAAGCTGCATGTGTTTTGGGAGGTCCCGAAACACGTAGCATAGAAAGATTGATGTAAACTGATTAACTGATTCTTCTGTACAGGCGAGCTATCAGTCTTCACTGGCCTACGCACTCAGTCGCAATCCACCGCAAGACATATAGCAACAATGGACTTGTATACAGAAAGCGATGACCATTTCCGAACAGTCAAGCTGCGGCCCAGCTCGACACCCCTTAAAGACATTGATCTCTGCTCGTTCTCTGGAGCTGTTCGAACACCGCAAAGATATCCCAGCGGAATCAGATTAGAACAAGCGGCGCAGTTCTGCCAACCGGCTGCTCAAACAAAGCCCATGCAAGGATCGTGAGACATGATGGTCTGAGCGTGCTTTAGAGATGGGGACCGCTGCGCTCTCTGACAACACTCGCAAGATTTTCCAACACATTCGGTCCACTGGCATCAGTGAGATTATTTGCAAGGTGGATGAGTCTCCGATCACCAAGCAACAGAGGCGTATGCACCGCTGGGTCGAGCACTTTCACTCGCAGTTCAATTGGCCTCCACCGTCCATCAGTACATGTAGTACACCTTGTTGGCCATCCTCCCTCGTCCCACTGAATGCACCAAGCGAAGCGGAAATCTGTCTCGAGATTCGACGCTTGAAACGGTTCAACGCTGCCGGCTCAGACGGACTACCTCCAGACCTGGTGAAGAGCGGCGACGTGGCGACCATTAATGAACTGACCTTCCTGTTCGCAAAAATATGGCATGAAGAGAAAGTGCCTACCTCTTGGGGCGAATCAGCCAATGTCCGAATTTCAAGGAAGGCGCCCGCACTTCATGTGTAAATCATATATATATATATATATATATATATATATATATATATGGTTGGCGGCATCCGGTTTCGGATTTGCCTATCACTGTGGCCAGACACAGGACGCCTGCGCCTACAGAAGGACCATGGATGCCTTGCGCTGCACCACCCACACCTCCAACCACACAGCCCACATCCAGTGTAAACCCGAAGGAATAAGACCGGGAGGCATGCGGATGGGAACCACGTTTCATCAACGGAGCCGGCCCACACTCCTTCACAGGCAAACACAAGTACGCTGTATTTGGGGAATCAAGCACACACAAGGCGGTGGTTGGACCGTAGTCCGCTCCACACTGAGTGCATGGAACCGCTCTTCGAGCCTAGCACGGCCACAAGGACCGTGCACCCCGTCCTCTGCAGCAACGACCAACTGTCTCAAGGAGCCAGTATGGACGACGTAGTGGGTAATAGACAGGTAGGCACCTTGTCAACATGCACATCAAGCGCAGCCACACCGGGGATATCAAGCGGCAGCCAATCACTTGAAACAACAAGATGAAATAAAATAAATCCAATAATGCATACAGATACGGTGGCATAACTCTTCGCTAAATTACCATATGAAGTAAGTTGTTTAGCAACGAATTCGCGATAAGTAAGAAATGTCCACAAGTTACTTAAAAATGCTACAAACGCAACAAAGTTACCGAAGATAAGCGCAATTAGCATAAGCAACATGACCAGTTAATAGCAGATTATTCAAGTAGGCAGAACAAAACAAATAAAGTGAATGAAATTTATCCAGCTTAAAAAGACCTGGTTTGTGTGTAAGTTGGTTAAGCCTAACTGCGGTGAAGTAGCATCAAGAATGTAACAGTTGAGAATACATACATACATACATGATTCACTATTAAATAAAATTTCCGCCTGCTACTTCGTTCGAATGGAGCATAGTAGTTCAGAAAGCGCGTGCTATAATCTAGGGGAAGATTAGGTCCCCGTGAAGAAACCCACTTAAAAAAGGGTATATGAACCGAGTGACCAACCAGTGGTTCGCAATCGGTGCACTACTCGACCCCAACTCGATACCTGAAAAAGTTAGGATTTATGTCCGTTAAGCTGGTTTGTGAAAATGGCAGGACCCCAGTCAAATAAAAAGGCATGGTATCACCGCATCGCTCGTGCATATTCTCTTGTGCACCCCCATCAAATGTCCTCCCATTCAAATGTCAAGAAGTCGTTCTCCTGGGAGTAGCTCCACATCTTCCAAGTCATGTCTTGTAAATGCAATCTCCATGACTTTGTCAATAGCGAAATTGAAGAGGAAAGGTGGCAACGGGCATCCTTGTCTCACATCGCTGGAGATATTGAAGGGTGGCGACAGCTTGCAGTAAGCCCTCACTCTGCCCGTGCCACGCGCGTATAATGCTCGGATAATATTTACATATTTCTCGGGCACACCTTTCCTGAGTAGACAATTCCAAAGGATACATTGATCCACCGAATCGAAGGCACCTTTGATGTCGAGGAACACGACAACGGTGGGCCGCCAATATGTGTGACGGTGCTCCAACTACTGACGCAAGGTGAAGATATGGTCGATGCAGCCACGACCCCGACGAAATCTGGCTTGCTCCTCACGAATCCGGCTTTGACGAGCGCCAGTCAGTCTGTGATGCATTACGGAGGCGAGTAATTTGGAGGCGATGGAGATCACACTGATCCCTCTATGGTTGCCACATTCCGAGCGCGAGCTTCTTTTGAAGATGGGAACAATAACGGAGCGGCTCCAGTCGGCTGGGACAGTCTCCAGCTCCCACAGTTTCATTAGTAATTCATGTAAAGCATCAACAAGAGCAGAGCCTCCGAATTTGAAGAGAGCTGGATGTAAATCATCTGGTTCAGCGGCTTTGTTCAACTTCAACAGTTCGATCTCACGTTCGACTTCTGAGCGAGAGGGTGGATCCAAAGGGACAGCCCACGGAGCAGGGCGATCAGTGACCGGCGAATCGAACAATTCTAGCCGATTAAATTGCTTTACAAAATGCTCAGCCCAACGCTCCAAACGTTTTAGCAAATTGTGGATAGGCTGTCCACTCTCGTCACGTATAGTTTCACTAACACTAGGTCTCCTGCTGCCTGTTTCCCGTATCAGACGGAATAACTTACGATGGTTGCCAAGGGCAGCGGCCACTTCCATCTCTGATGCACGAACAGACCACCAAGATTCGCGGTCTCTCTTCAGGCTAGCACGGAGTTTGCCCGGAGCTCTTTGTGAGTTTCACTGTGTTCGCTTCCAGCCGGAATATGCCGGCGAGCATCGATAAGTTACAGAGACTGCGAAGAAACGCAATTTCCATGTTGGCGATTAGACTTACCACATGAGGATTTTCCTGCTGCTAGTAAGGTCTGATAAATATGAGACCAGTGAAGTTCAATCGCATCCAGTGAGTGTTTACTGAACTTGCATGACAGCGTACTTTGATATTCATTCAGAACAGTTGGTTGGTGTCAATGCGCTCACAACGTCGTCTTGGGCGTCCGTCAAAACGCATCCGCATGTCAGCACACACAAGTGCATGATCGGTGTCCACACATGTGCTCCAAATCGAGCGACAGTTCTGGACGCAGCCTCTCCATCGGTAACTGATAGCAATGTGGTCGATCTGCGTCAAGGCTGGTGGGCGCCAATTCACCCTCTGGCAGGTGCTGTGTCGGAAATTAGTGTTCGCAAGAAATAAGCGGGCATCTTCACATAAATGAAGTAACCGCTCACCGTTATCATTACGGGAGCCTACACCGTGCTGACCGCCCAGATGCAGTTCACCAGTAGACAACTTTCCAACTTGTGCGTTCAGATCCCCAACCAGCACCACAGTGTCCGTGATTCTTCTATGGTGAAGGAGCTGGGTCAGTTGGCGGTAGAATTCGTCTTGTACCGAGTCATCGCTACAGTTTGTGGGCGCATAGGCAGCGATGATGAATAGACACCTGTTAGTCCCGCGCGACTTCGAAGCTTTGAACGTGCCAGCCAACCGGACCGCACACATCCGGCTACTGATTGGAATCCAATTAACCAGAGCAGCTTCAGCCCGGGGACTCAGGGCAATACCAACACCGGCTTGGCCGGTGCTCGAAGCTGCATCGTCACCGGATAGGTGAAATGAGAAGATACTGCTTGCGTCACCTGAAAGGGATCGCAGAGTGAGCACAGAGCCCGAGTCTTGCAGGCGGGTCGCCGATAAGCAGCAGATATCGATCGAGAGGGTCTCTAATGTTCGGGCGAGTGTTGCCTGTTGACCGATTCGTGGCAATGTGCGTACAATGAGGCATGCCAATCTAAAGGATGATCGAGAGGTCCAAATGGAAGTCGATGAACTGGGCTTGGCTGTTTGGTTGGACATGGGCTTGTCGACAGGACGGGAATGACGCTCCGCGTTCACATGTGAGTTGAAATTAGAAGATAAATGCCTAGCAAAGCGTGTTGGGGGAGGGCCAAGAATTGGGGGTTGAAAACTGGGGGAGGGGAGAAAAGTGAAGTTGGAACGGGACGGTAAGAAGGAAAAAGCGTAAGAGGGGGAATAAGAAGACGAGAAGGCTTGAGCAGTTGCATCCAAACCCCTATCCACACTGCTCCATGCAGCAGATAGGGCACAGTTGATTATCCTCTGCGGTGGCCAGAGCATCAGAAATTTGTTTGAAGTGTGATTCATTGTATTGCGTGGGCAGGATACTGTCAGGTTGCGCAGGCCTAGACAGGAGAACGGTTAGGGTTCTCAACCAAAGCCTTTGGTTCAAAAACCTGGCCGCAAGGCAGCGGGTTTGGCGTTGGGCTACAAGGAGTTCGTTTTAAGGAATAAGTTGCCACCCTGATTCCAACCCCCAACCTGGAGGACCAGGAGGCTGAGTTTGTCTGGCCTCTAACCATTGACCAATCTGGTATGAGTGACTCTGTAGGTGCAAAAGCACCACTCATCATAGCTCAATAGACTGCTGAGGCACACAAACCATCGCACCACGGTAAGGTCCAGCCTCACTGCGATGGCGCGTTTGTTGCGAACGTATTTATATCTACCTTTCGGCCATCTTAAGTTTACCGCGGATATGTTGATAACCCAATTATTTCATATGGTGATTTAGTGAAGTTGAGTAGACATATCCGTATGCTTTATTCCATTTATCTTATTTGATATTGTCATTTCAAGTGATTAGCTCTAGGACACAGTTGAATGTTGCTGGACGGGACGGAGTGCACGGTCTTCGTGACCATGTTAGGCTTAAAGGGTGGTTCTGTGCACATAGTTTATGTGTGGAGCGGGCTACGGTCCAAGCACCGCCTTGTGAGGGCTTGATTCCCCAAATACAGCGTGCTTGTATGTGCCTGTCAAGAAGTGTGGGCCAGTTCCGTTGATGAAACGTGACTCCCAATTGCATGAATTCCAGTCATATTCCCTCGGGTTTACACTTGACATGGGGTGTACAGATGGAGCTGTGGGTGGTGCAGCGCAAGTCACAATGGTTTCCCTGTAGGCACAGGCGTCCTGTGGCTATCCCCGTGGAGGCGACAGTGACAGGCAAATCCGGATGCCGCCAAACATATTCAACACTTTAGCAATTACATTACAACTGGTGAGTGCAACAACACACAAGAGAAAAAAATAGATTGAAAGAGAAGACGACTGTCAGACTAGAAAAGTATCACAACAAGTGCCCCAATGCGTACGGTCCTTGGCCATATCCAGTAGCGTTTGCAACCAGATGTGCTCGAGGTTCTTTGATCCCCAACCAGGGAGTCGAGAACGATCAAGAACAGCCAACTTCAATGCTTTAACGCATTGAATCCAAGCCTTCAACTGGCCTTGTTGTCGCTTCCACCCCACGCCTGCGCTCGAAAATAGGGCACGTCTTGGTAGCCGTGGGGTAGGCATGCGAAGCATATGTCAAAGCGAGCGAAGCCTCCGCAGTGAAGTAATGCTGTCAATCGGTCGGCGGAGTTTTTCAGGTTTGAAGACTCGCCGATGGTCTTCCCCATTACTGATGCGATGCTGCCATCGAACGCCAGCAATACTTCGCGGGCAGCGGTGGATGATTTTGCGAACGAGCCAAGTCTCACAGCCATATAGCAGAATCGCTCGTACCTCAGCATTGCAGACATCCTTTGAGAGCGAGGCTGAGGTCACGACGAAGCCATAGCTAATGAAGGTTATAAAATTTTATGATAGGCCGCAGTTTGCTTTCCCCGGCTAACTATATATATACATATATATATATATATATATATATATATATATATATATATATATATATATATATATATATATATATATATTTCTGGGTTCAACTGTTCGCCGAGCTTCGCAATTGGTATGCAGATGTTTCATCACCACGCGAGGTGTCTTCCTCAGTGCGCTGCAGGGTCAAACGTAATCCGCTGACTTGGTCGTCGATTTGTGATTGATAAGCAAGTGACTTTTGAATTGACCTTAATCTGTGCCCGTGACCACCCGTCTTCCCAGCTTCTCTGGTAGATATGAGCTAAGAGCAGCTTACTAGCAAGATTCCAAAGATGGGCACCGGAACTATGCGCGCAAACCACAAATGAATCAATCGCAGGTTGGTGGTCTTCAAACTGCTGGAAACATCGCTAGTACAAATTGGTTTCTCAGAGGCATCACTCGCTTGCAACTAATATAGAGATATGGAGGCTCTGCAGAAAGTTCAATTCGGACAAATGTGCAGAAAATTGTTGAGCAAGTGACGTATACCTTAGCAATTGATGTTTCTTCCGAATCGCCCAAAGATAGGGAAGCGCTGGTGCTGTTCTTCTGCTTTAGAGCTGAGCAATCATGTAAGTCAATGGACTGAACTGAACTACTCAGTTCGTCACAGTAGATACCAGAAGACATGGTGAAACTACAAAAAACAAGGAAAATAGCGTAAAGTATCACAGGAAACAGACTCGTCATTGCAAATGATAACAGGTCAAACATTAAGAAAGGTTTGTAAGAACTAAAGAGTTAGCAAATCGTTTGTGTATGAGAAACGAGTCTGGAAAATATGCAAAATATGCGTTACGCAAGACTATTGTAGGAGGCTGTGAAACGCGTAGCAAACAGGGACAAACACAAAACATGAGTCGAATCCTCTCAGAAACGAAACTATAAGACAAACCTAGCAAAGTAAAAATGCGGGATAAATCGTTCACGTCATTGCCTGAAAGAATGAAACGAAGCTGAAATCTCCACTAAAACTAAAACTTGATTTACCGGCTTATGTAGCACAATGATTACGAAAATCGTGAAGCATTTGCCACTCCATGGAACCATGGTTACGCTACCCAAGATTACTAACCGAAGATACCCAGTGAACTTATAAGTCCAGGAAGATAGCGCGGTGTACAAGTTCCAAAAAAAGTCGATCACCTAATAGGAAGTCGGGCGTGAGAAAAAACATGCTTAACCAAGACGGCAAACACTGTACATTATAGGGGATGACGTCTGTCAGAACGGCTTCATATCTGAACAGTGGATAGCTAACGACACTAAGAGCCAGAATTATAAGAATACGCAATTCCGTGGACTAACGACCGTTGGGTACAGTATCGATGGTTGTTTCAAGCGATAAAGTGTGGCCGCCAATGCCAACATAAAGAACTCGTATTGCTGTGACAATTTAGTCTCCATATCCCTGATCGTCTTGGATTGACTTCAACACGATAATTTCCCGAACCTTTGTTAACCATTACCATCAGGATAACGTTAGTCAAACCACCGCGATCAGCAGCATCATTACACGTTAGCTGAAGGTGAGAAATACTACAGCCAGGTGTGCCGCAATACAAAAAATAAGACATATGAAGCGCAAACGCAGCATTAAAAAAATAAAAAGCAAGTAACATAATGCAATGTCATATCACCCATACAGTGAGAGATGGTTGTTGGAGGGGGAAGATAAACACGAAGCGGAGGGACAATGAAACTCACAACACAAACCCCAATGAAGTCGGATCTTCGCCATGTCAACTAGTGTATCCAGCCGAAAGCGTTTATCGTCCAAGGGACTCTAGCCTGGCAGTAAAGAGACACAAACAGGAGCCAAGTTCGAAGTGAAGGTCTGAGTTCCTCCTGACCAAGACAGCGCTTGGCCGCCCCTTCTTCTCTTCCATACACACCCAGTCGCACAAACAAAGCACGCTGCGTGAATCAATGGGCTGGCATGCTCAGCCCGTGACTCAGCATCAGAGCCTGTTAAGTGATATAACAGTGCTGAGTGGTTCAAACGCTTTCTCTGCATCTAATGTGATCATTGTTCACAAGGTGGTCCAAAGAAACAAGAACCAAACTAAGAAGTCATAGATGAGAGAACGTACCAAGGAGAGTAAAATCTCCCAAGAAAACTCCTTACTTCAATGGGAAAACAAGCTGAACCAATGGTGTACAACCAAAACATCAAGTAGTATCAGGAACGTTCGTTTCAGGAACGCTCGTGTCCATACAACGAGCGACCCAACCTTCTCATTGACTAGCGGAACTGATCTATCAATAAGGACAGCTGACCCAGATGTTTTGATACGTGAATCTTCCTTGGGTGACTTATAAAAGTCCGTTGTTTCCACACTACTTGTATCCGTTCGGTAGCTTGTTCTGCAACACGCTTTTGCATCCAAGCGTCGACTTCTGACTTCCGACTGCGATTCGGAGCTAGCAGAGAACGATTTCAGTTCAACCGAAATCGCGCAAGCAGAAGCAGATCGTAACAAATAGCGATGAAAAAAACTGGTGATGCAATGGATTTCTCTGCAGAAGAATCTCAAAAGTTGCTACGGCAACAGCAGGCACAAATGGAGGCGCAAATGAAGCTGATTGAAACCTCGACGCAGCGACTCAATCTGCAGTCTTCAGAAACAGCTTCGCGGGACACAGGCAAATTCAGTTGATCTCCTCTGCAATCCTTTACTGAATTCAATTATAATGCTGATTCCGGAAGCATTTCCGATACGTGGTTCAGATGCTAGGAGGATATGTTCAAAACGGATTTCATCCGTCAGGACAACTGCTGGAAAGTGCGAATGCTGCTCCGCAAAATTGGCAGAAATGAACATTCAAGGTTCATTGATCACATGCTGCTAAAACAGCCGAAAAATCTCAGTTTCGCAAAAGCGGTGTCACAACATAGCAAAATTTTCGATGAATCGTCATCACTGTTCAGCATCTGCTATCAGTGTCCGAAAATCGTCAAGCGGGACACAGACGACTATGGGGCGCTGGCAGACATGGTCAACCGTGAGTGTGAACGTTTCAAGCTGCGCTCTTTGACAGATGACCAAGTCTAGTGTCTCATATGTATCTGGGCCTTACCGTCCCCGCAGGATGCCGGGATCCGCATAAGACTACTTTCCAGGAACGACGCTGAAATCCCTCACGGCCGGGTGCAAACAACTGATGACGCTGAAACATAACAGCGCCATGGTCGAGAATTCTTCCGCACAACCGCGAAATGTCCATGCTGTGACAGGCTCCAAGGAAAACATGTCTGACAGTTCTACCACAAAACAGACCGCCTACTGCCTGTTGGTCATGCGGTGAGTGGTATTTCGCCCGATTCTGTCCATTCAAGAAGCATATTTGCCAAAAGTGCCATAAACGAGGCCATAAGGAAAAACTCTGCAAACAGTCTCGACCAGTGAACACTAAACCGTTCCGATCCAAGAAAAAAAATGGAAAATACCGTTGCAGAATCCCTGTCCGTTCAACCGCAATCGCGCAGGTAGAAGTAGTTATTAACAGAACGTAACAACGCTTTTCAGTTGTGTCGAGCTGATAGGCGAGATTTCGATAGCAGGCAAGAGGGCTGAATGGACGGCTGTGTTATGAACCCAGCCCTTCAGAAAGTGTCGCACCGATGACACAGGTGGCAGAGATTGCCAAAAGTATCCCGAGCTTTGCTATACGGTTTACGATCTCATCTTTCATTTTATCAGCGCTATTTGCTGGAGGATTTCTAGAAGATTACCGCAAAAGGCTCAGCGCAGGGTTGGGTAACAGCTAATGATGGAGGACTTTCCAATTCGATGGTGTAGGTAAAGCCGAAACGACGGACGGCTAGTGTAAAACTGTCAATTACTGCATGGCACAGTTCGCAGCTGTCAGATTAGGGAATCGTCGGCATACTCCAAGTCAAAAATCTGCTCACATGGAAGCAGATTCAAACCTTCCAAGTAGTGTCCAGTGAATGTCATTTCCATGACTTAGTCGAAGGCGAAGTTAAAAAGGAAATGTGAGAGTGGGCAACCTCGTTTCACACCGAAGGAGATTTAAAAAGGCGGCAACAGTTTGCCATAAGCCCTCACTTTACGAACTGTGCGCATAAAACGCGTCGATAATGTTTAGCTAATTCTCGGGCACTGCTTTTAGTGTGCGCCGAAGTACCGCTTGGCATCCTCCTGTAGCTGGTCAGCGATATACCCAAACTGAACACATTGCGATAAGTTACAGGTGGCGTGGTTCCATCCTGGATTGCCGCTCGTTCAGGAACCCCTGCGTCGACTCAGATCATGACTTGGTACGCTGTCGTTTCTTCATGAACTTTACAAGGAGGCCCACCAGCGTCTCCTCCGATTGGCAACTGAGAAATTGTCTCAGTCCTCAGTCAGACAAGCTTACTAAAACACACTGTGTACCGAACTGTCGCTCGCTTGTCCTAATGAGACTGATCTTCAGTTGAATAGGATCTCGTTCGCCATGCACGACGCAAGAGCACCGCACCAGTCACTGGATATTCGAGAGGTCGGTGAACCTGTTGGGATCCAGAAGAAACCTCCCGGCTGGCTCTGAGCACAATATGACCAGACGGATTACGAAACTCGAACTAAAGCGGAGCCTACGTGCTAACAAGGAAGTTTGGTGGATCAGTGAAGCTCAAGAAATGGAGGACGCAGGAACAGTAGGTAATTACCGCAAACTCTTCCAGCTGATCAGAACCAGTGGTCCCAGGAAACCAGGCGTCAGTGAGACAATCAGAGATAGCGCGGGTCCACTCATACACAATAAGGAGCGCCGTATGGCTCGTTGGGTGGAACATTTTCAAGATCAGTTCAGCTGGTTTCCTGGTCATGGACCTCTTCCTACTCAGGTGATGCAGGACGAGCCATGGACGGTTAGCCTAGAGCCTCCGTCGGAGGTCGAGTTCCGAAAACCGATCAAAGCCCTCAATCAATTTCGTGCTGCTGGCCCGGATTCCCTCCCACCTGCACTATGTAAGGATGGAGGTGAGGTCCTCTGCAAAGCACTGACCACCCTATTCGAAGATATCTGGAAGGAAGATAATGTCCTGGCCAATTGGAGTGAATCGATTATAGTGGCAATATACAAGGGCAGTCGCACAGACTGTGCTAACCACAGTAATATTAGCCAAACGCCCGTTGTGACATCGACTCTGATTCGTCGCCTCACTGCGGAGCGAGAATCACAGGTTAGGGAGGAGCAGGCAGGCTGCCGCTCAGAACAAGGCTTTATGGACCATATATTCACTTTACGACAGGTGTTAGAGCAGTGTCACGCATACCGCAGACCCACAATAGCTGTATTCCTCGACTTCAAGTGTGCGTTCATTTCAGATCGATGCATTCTGTTCGAAATACTTGCGCACAAAAATGTTCTCAAGAAATATGTGAACATCTTACGTGCTCTATGCTCGAACACGACAGGCCGCGTCAGGGTCTACGGTGACCTGTCGGATAGCTTTTCGTGAATAAGTGGCGTTCGCCATGGTTGTCCGATTTCTCCATTTTTGTAATTTTGATAAGGCTTTCTTCCCAGTAGTTCACAAGCTACATAGTAGAGCCTTGTCAGGAAATGCACCAGCACTTTTGTTCAATCTCATCGAGGGCTCCATCATGGAGTGTTCCTTTGCAG